ATATATATATATATATGTTTGTATATATATATATATATGGTATATTTATATTTATATATATAAAAAAAGTATATATATATATATATATATATATATATATATATATATATATATATATATATATATATATATATATAGTATATATATATATATAATTATACTATAAGTGGTAATATATTATTCTGAACACTGAGGTGAGGTTTCATAATAGGTTATTGTTTTTAACTATTATAAAATGTAATACAAATATTTTATCATCTCTAATTATTATATGTTTTTATGTATTATTTTATTTATTTTTATATCACTCTTGTATGATTTTTGAGCTGCATGGATGACAATATGTGCCATTTTTTTTCCTTCCACTGAAACTGATCTGTATATGAAGTTATAATACTGTATAATAATACTATAATACTGCATGTCTCCGGTGTCAGAAGCATATCATTTTACCTGAACTCAGTCTCGGACAAGTGGGTCATGAGGGTTTCTGTGATTTTATACGCTGATATATGGAGCTGTGAATCGTCATCTGAGCTATGAAAACTGATCTGCTGGAGATAGAGATCAATGTCTGGAGGAAATGATGTCAAGGACAGATCTACTAATAAACATTTAAACGACAAAACTATTACTTATGCCTCCCAGAGTCAATAAACAGTACAGTAGCACATACTGTAGTTTCAGCCTTTCTGAAGGGGATGCATATCATTTTGTGAAATTGGAGATTTGAGGATTGTATCTGCTTACCAGACTCTGTTTATTGTATTATTTTAATATTGCTGATTCATATAAAGCATGATGTTCTTTTCAAGATTTGGCTATTATAATATTTGTATTATTATTAGTCATTTCTTGATTATGTTGTTGACATGTTAAAAAAAGTGTTTGTTTTTTTAGTACTCTTTACTTTGGATTTGTAACTCTTAAATGAAAATAATCTGTTATATTGTTTTAATTTTAATTAATTAATTATTTTTATATTACTTTTTACTTTGCTTTCTAATATTTATTTATAACTGAAAAAATAAACCCTTAACTAATAAATAAATAGACAAATTAATAAATAAATACAGATAAATAGATAAATAAATTATTTTTAAACTTATTAATAGTTTAAAATGTATATATATTTTTGATGTTCTGTTTTCAATTTATTTTTAGCCAAATAATTTGGTTGTGTTTTTATTATTTTATTATTTTTAATGTGTATATATTTTGATATAATATTGTATTTTATTTTAATGTTATTAAAACAAAAATTAGATATTTTCTTGGCAACTGGGCTAAATTGTCCGTAGTGTATGAGTGTGTGAATGTGTGTGTGGATGTTTCCCAGAGATGGGTTGTTGGCGGTTCCTTCCGCTGTGGCAACCCCGGAATAATAAAGGGACTAAACCGACAAGAAAGGAAATAAAATAAAATAAGTAGACTGTAAAATAAATAAATTAATTAATTAATTTATATTGTATAACTGAAACAAAATAAACCTTAATAAATAAAAAAAATATTTATTTATTTATTTATTTATTTATTTTTATTGTATAACTGAAACAAAATAAATCTTAATAAATAAATATAATGTTAAATAAATAGACAGATAAATAAGTAGACTGCAAAATAAATAAATACATTTATTCATTTATATTGTATAACTAAAAATAAATAAATCTTAATAAATAAATAAAAATAAATTAATACATAATTTATTTATATCATATAACTGAAACAAAATAAACCTTAATAAATAAATATATTGCTAAATAAATAAATAGACAGATAAATAAGTAGACTGTAAAATAAATAAATACATTTATTCATTTTTATTATATAACTAAAACGAAATAAACCTTAATAAATAAATTAATAAAAATAAAGAAATAATTTTATATATATATATATATATATATATATATATATATATATATATATATATATATATATATATATATATATATATATATATATATATATATATATATATATATATATATATATATAGAGAGAGAGAAAAAATATATATATATATATATATATATATATATATATATATATATATATATATATATATATATATATATATATATATATATATATATATATATATATACATATATATATATATATATATATATATATATATATATATATATATATATATATATATATATATATATATAT